TTAACCCAGGTGGAGGAGTTTAAGTATCTCTGGGTTTTGTTCACGAGTGAGGGAAGGATGGAACGTGAGATTGACAGGCGGATTGGTACAGCGGCAGCAGTAATGTGGTCGATGTACCGGTTCGTTGTGGTGAAGAAGGAGCTGAGCGGAAAGGCAAAGATCTCAATTTATTGGTCAATCTACGTTCCTACTCTCACCTATGGTCATGAGCTTTGGATCATGACCGAAAGGACAAGATCTTGGATACAAGCGGCCGAAATGAGTTTCCTTCGAAGGGTGGCAGGGCGCACTCTTATGGATAGGGTGAGGAGCTCTGACACCCGGGAGGAGCTCGGAGTAGAGTCGCTGCTCCTCCACATCGAGAGAAGTCAGCTGAGGTGGTTCGGGCATCTGTTTCGGATGCCTCCTGGACGCCTACCTAGAGGGGTGTTCCAGGCATGTCCTACCAGGAGGCGGCCTCGGGGAAGACCCAGGACATGCTGGAAGGACTACGTCTCTTGGCTGGCCTGGGAACGCCTCGGGACCCCCCGCAGGAGCTGGAGGAACTGTCTGGGGAGAGGGAAGTCTGGGGTTCTCTCCTAAGACTGCTGCCCCCGCAACCCGGCCCCGGAAAAGTGGCAGAAGATGAATGAATGGATCCAATGTAGGCTCATTCTGAAAACGTAACCCTATATACATTTCTGGACATCACAAGTTATGTAGCCAGAAGAACATATGGCTGCATTTTGTCTAAAAAACGAATGCTACGGTGCGGTGTTACACCGTTCTTTTTCATGCTGACCGATTACCTTCGTGTGAACGGCTTCTTCGGTGTTATCAGTGTAACACTAGTACTACATTAGTAATTTGAACACTAATACAGAAATGGTTCCGGCGATTTAGAATGACCAAATCAACATTTCAGGTGTTTCACAGTGTGCTCAGCCTGCTGGTTTGTCTATTCACACACATTTTTATCATTACATGATAATTTTTTTAAAGCACATATTGGAATAGCTTTGGTAAGCGTGTTTCCATCACAGTTTATGTGTATCTTTTGGAATGAAAAGTTTATCCTACTTAGTTAAGCTCATACAATTTTTATGTGCATTTTCAAAATTTATGCACATCTTTGCGTTTCCGTCAACTGATTTTTTTTATGCGCATAAAATAAGTGGATAGAAACATAGCTATAGTTGTAACCCCGGGGAGTGACACAGACAACTGAAAGTGGATCCACTTGCAGGTTTATTGGAGTAGTCAGGCAAGCAAAGGTCAGCACAGGTGCAAACAGATGTACAAAGGCAGTCCAGAATCGTCGTCAATATAACAAGCGAGAGGTCAGAAGGCAGGCGGCAGACAGGGATAACTAAATAGACAAGGTGAGGTAAATACTCGGGAAAACAGGGCTAGGAAAATGCGTTGTAATGTTACTGAGGCAGATAACAAGACTTGGCCATGTGAATGAGTGAGTGTGCTGCTTAAATAGTGTGTGTAATCAGTCGTAGACTTTCGCAGAGATCCGCTGCTTAAAAACCTGCAGGATAAGTTGGCGGTTCATTCCGCTGTGGCGACCGCGGATTAATAAAGGGACTAAGCTGACAGGAAAATGAATGAATGAATCAGTCGTAGACAATCCTCAGGTGGTGCGAGTGTAATCAGTCTAAATGAGGAAGCATGTGTGTCTGTGAGCGGAGTGCATGTATGAGAACAGGCCCGGATTGGCTAATCGGGAGGACCGGGAGAATTCCCGGTGGGCCGGTCTGTTTTTTGGCCGCGAGGGCCGGTGTCCCTAGCTGCTTGCACTCTCAGCAGTCACACTTTTTTCTTCTATTTATTTATTTGACAATAGCTTTACTTTTTTTAATCATTATTTTGCCGTAGTGCCGCTCTTTTTATTTATTTTCTCGCAGCCCCGTGAGAAAAATGCAGCCTGCAGGTTAACTAACGTTAATGATGATGATGTAATGCAACTATCGACCCCAAACAGCGGCACCTTAGTGAATATAAGAATTCGAATAAAATGAATAATACACCTGCTCAATGAAAATCAAATGATTCACTACATTAATAAATCTGACATAACTTGATCAGAAATCTAAAAATAGGAGAAAAAGATTGAGCCATCAAAAGAAAGTAGTGCTGTGTCTTGAGGGTGGCAAGCCATTAGTTATTTTTTACTCTCACTGTAATAGCGCCAACGTGGTCCAGTGGTAAGCACAATACATTTCAGTTTCACAGACCTATGATCGAATCTCCCATAAAAAATCTTTTTTTTTTTTTTCGATTTTATTGTTAAGACATAAAATACTGTTAGGGCTGTTGAACATTTGAATTTGTAAAGCAGCAGTTTTCTTGAAAAAAACGTGATAGTGCCATTAACAACTGAATTGGAATCAGTCGTGAACTGAGGTGGGCCGGTCTGGCTTGAAACTCCAGGGCTGAAAATGAGTCCCACTCCGGCCCTGCATGAGAATGTAGTCCAGAAATGGCGGATTTGTAGTCCATGTTTATGTGAGTGGGATCCAGCGATCTTATGAAGTATGATCGCTGGTAATCGAGACAATAGTGACTTCACAGCAAGAAAGCCACTGGTTCGAGTCCCGACTGGGCCAGTTGGCGTTTTTGTGTAGAGTTTGTATGTTCTCTCGTGTTGGCGCGGGTTTCCTCCGGGTGCTCAATGTTTCTTCCAATAAGGGACTAAGCAAAATAAGGTGCAATATATATATATATATATATATATATATATATATATATATATATATATATATATATATACATATAGTATTGCAATGGAGTCAATACACAACAAAACATTTGCCTTACACTTTCAGTTCCTTCAGTCAGTAAAATAACCTACACTAACAAAATGACTAAAAGTCAGGACAACAAATAATTTTAAGTTTCTTCTTTTAATGACTCAATCTGGTTTCAACTACATTTTTTTTAAAGTTAAACAAAGTTTAATTTAAGATTTGTAGTCAGTTTAAATGATGTGAGTTGAGATGACTAGAAAAGTTCATTTGATTAAACAAGGCAAGGCAAGTTTATTTATACAGCACATTTCATACACAGTGACAATTCAAAGTGCTTTACATAAGCAGGAATAAAAGAAACACGTGAATAAAAATGATTAGATAAAACATATTAAAATGTGTTAAAACAGATTATAAAAGAATGAAAAAGAAAAGAACAACATAATTGTGTGTTCTGTTGGACGTAGCACAATGTTCATTTAGTAAAAGCACAGCTAAACAGATGTGTTTTAAGTCTGGATTTAAATATACGTAATGTTGGAGCTAGAGATCTGCGCGGGACTAAATTTTGAATCCGTCCGCCAGGTTTTAGCCCGAACCCGACCGCTCCCGGTTACATTCAGCATTTGTTGTCCCGCTGCCCGCCCCGCCCCGTTTTCTACCCGCCGCGCCCGATACCGCTAAAAAGCGGGGGGAGAACAAAACCGAAAACCACTCAGCTATACAGAGTCCAGACAGCCTATAACAAGCTGTCTCTATAAACACACATACACATAAGCACCAAGCACACACACACAGACAAATCTCTCTCTCTCTCTCTCTCTCTCTCTCTCTCTCTCTCTCTCTCTCTCTCTCATTCACGCGCGCGCACTAACACACACACACAAATAAGCACCAACCACACACACAGGCAAAGCTCTCTCTCTTTCTCTCATTCGCGCGCACGCACAATCACATACACACACAGCAACAAACAAGCTAAACACAGCATCGCGCTATTTCATTTACACACATACATATGCGTGCTCGCTCGGGAGTCGGGAGTGATATTGCTAGACGGCCCGCTCCCATCCCAAATTAAACCCGTTACCGACTGCTCCCGCGCTGTATTAGGAAATTTATTCCTGCGCCACAGAAATCTGGTCAGGTCTGGTCAATGCAGACCTCTAGTTGATCATTTCTGGAAGCTGATTCCATCAGCGTGGGGCGTAGTAGGGTCGATTCACCCTGCTTTGACTGAACTCTTGGAATTTCTAGTTTGTATGATCCTAAAGATCTAAGTGATCTGTTGGGTTTGTATTCAGTGAGCATAGCTGTAATGTATTGAGGTCCTAGGCCATTTAGTGATTTATAGGCACGTAATAGTACTTTAAAATCTATTCTGAATGTAACTGGGAGCCAGTGTAAAGACCCGAGGACAGGTGTGATGTGTTCTGATTTCCTGGTTCTGGTCAGAGTCTTGGCCGCAGCGTTCTGGATGAGCTGCAACCGTCTGACTGTCTTTTAGGGAAGCCCAGTGAGGAGTCCATTACAGTAATCCACCCTGCTGCTGATAAAAGCATGAACAAGTTTCTTAAGTCCTCACTGGAAACAAAGCACCAAATTCTTGCAATGTTTTTGAGATGATAGTATGCTGATTTAGTTACTGATTTGACATGAGCTTTTCTAATGAGCTACTGTAGCATATTTTGCCATGCCTGTTTCCAAAACACTATTATTAATATTAATACTTGTGAGATGACAGATATGATAGGCCAAATAAATAGTGCATTCAGAACCATTTTACTTCATTGAGGATTGAAAACATGATCATAAAAATATTTTGAATGCATTTATCTAAGACTTTTTTTATGACTGCGTTAGATAGTTGGCTATTAATGCCAGCAGTTTAGACGACCTAGAAACCTACACATGACAGTGGAATGTAATTATAATTATAAGGAAACAGCACGTGCAATTAAAAAAAAAAGTACTGCATTGTTTGTTTGCTGAGAACAAACACAGAGCTTATATGTAAGAAAAAAAGATGATGTAAAAGTCAGCATTTGCTTATCTCTTTATGAACTTTCCAGCTTGATTTGCATCTCTGCATCTACACAGACTCGCTCTAGCTGGTTTCACAGCAGGACAGAAGTGCACTGTGGCTGTCTTAGCTACTTAACGTCACCCGAAAAAAAAAAACTTCCTCTTTTTGTGGTTTTGTGACACTAAACTGATGACGCCAACACACGGATGCTTAAAAAGGCTTGCAAAAACAGCCCGCTCTTATTAACTGAAAATAACCGAACGGCTTGCCAACACGTACCAGTGCAGGAAAGGTTTTAAAGATGCCAACAATACTGTCAACTGAAATCGAAAACATGAACAAGGAGGATAAAGCTACCAATCCCAGGTAAGTTTTCCTTAAAAAATAAAGGTTTGTTTGCGTGGAAACAGTATATATTTAGATATTTTTTTGCTTCTATCATATAATAAACCAAACAAACTCTCTCTCTCTTTTTAGGAGGCTCGAGAAGTGGCGGTTTCGTTGCCCATTGACAGAAAAGTAAGCTACTTTCATGTCAATTTGTTTCTTAAATATATAAAGAACTCAGTATTATAAGATTTTCTTCTTCAGAAATTTCCCAAATTATGTTTAACAGCGCAAGAAATTTTTCACAGTAATTCCTATAATATTTTTGATTCCGGAAAATTTTTTAACTTATTTGTTTTATTTCAGCTAGAATGAAAGCTGTTTTAAGTTTGTTTAAACCCATTTTAGGGTCACTATTATTAGCCTTCTTAAGGAATATTTCATTCAGTTGTCTACAGAACAAGCCGTCATTACATAATGACTTGCCTAATTACCCTAACTATCCAAGTTAAGCCTTCAAATGTTACTTTAAGCTGAATACTAGTTAGTATCTTGTAAATATCTAGTACAATATTCTGTACTGTCATTACAGCAAAGATAAAAGAAATCAGTTATTAAAACAGATATTGGGGGAAAATTCAATTAAATTCAGCTGTATTTGTATAGCGCTTTTACAATGTAGATTGTGTCAAAGCAGCTTCACATAAATGGTTATAGTAACTGGAACAGTGTAGTTCAGTTTTTAGTGTTTAAGTTCAGTTCAGTTTAGCTCAGTTCAGTGTGATTTAATCATTACTGAGAGTTCAAACACTGAAGAGCAAATTCATCGATGCGTAGCTATCGATGATAATATAGAAGGGGGCTAATAATTTTGACATTAACACTAATTACAAATGTGTGAGTGTAAAACTCCATTAAAACACAAACACCTTATCTTTTATTCAATAGAATAAACCCTGGTGAGACTTCACAGTGGTCCCAGTCCCTGGAAAACCTTCTCCGATCCAAATGTGAGTGGTTTATTCTTAATTAATTCTTAATATGCTTGTCATTATGCTCTCATACATCGTAAAATGTATTTTATTTACACAAATATATATTGTAACACTTTATTTTGATGGTCTATTTGAGCATTAGTAGACTGTCTGCTTAATATCTGTTGCTAAACAGACATTTCACTGACTGTTAGAAACTTTGCAAGTACATGTCAACTTACACTAACCCCAACCTAACAGTCTACTTATAATCTAATGAGAATTATTTGGCATGCGGATGCAATGTAAACTTAAATTCGACAAACGGACCATCAAAATAAACTGTGAACATATACATTATCATAGCGTCCTTCAGCGGTTGTTTTGCATGATGGATTTTTGTTGACATTAATATGGAGGAGAAGGGAAGAAAGTGAACAAATGCTGCATTGTTTCCTAGATGGTCAGATAGCTGGAGAAAGGAACTGACCTTAACTGGTGTAATATGTATGCAAATCAGTAGAAAAAAGCAGCTTCGCTTTTACAGAAGCTATTTGGACACATAAGTCACATGTGTAAATGTCAAATGGACTGATAATATTGCAGCTGAATTAAACAAACAGTGGTGTAAAGTAACAAATTACAAATACTCAGTAGTTTTTCCCAGAAATTCTAATCAAAGAAGTAGTTTTATAAAAGTGTACTTTCACTTTCCCTTAAGTACATTTTTAGTGCAGTGTTGGTGCTTTTACTCCACTGTTTTCCTTCATCCTGATGCCACTACTTTATTTTTTCTTGTCTGTGTTGATTAAAAAAATCAGTCCAGTGATTCCTGTTAAATCAAATCGTATATAGAAGGTAAATCGCATCATAATGAACTACCTCAAGACATGGGCGATTACAATTATAATTGCAGCAAACTGTTTGGAAGCGTTAAAAATGTCCAAGAAGATGTCCGAAATCTTCACCCGCATTGACCCAGAGACTGTTTAGATGCATGTCACTGATGAAAAGATGATGGATGTTTACTGTATGATGACTGAAGGGGCGTCATGACGTTGTACCCTAACATTGTGCGCACATTGCATTTTGGTTGGAAATAAAATTGGGTTGTCCACAAAATCCAACATAGGGCAATGTCCAACGTCCAACCTAAAATCAACCAAATATTATCGTCTAACGATGTTACAGCTTGACATTGTGGGGATGATACAACTATGATGTCTATTAGACTGTGGACTTTGGTTGCCATACCTGACAAATAAATGTTACTTGACAATGACAACGTTATTTTGACAGTCAATAACAATGTCAAATGACGTTGATATTTGGTTGATTTTAGGTTGTGTTAGAAAGTGCAGAAAAATCCAAGTCAAGCCAACATCTTAAACCAGGGGTGTCCAAAGTCAGTTCTGGAGGGCCGGTGTCCTGCATATTTTGGTTCCAACATCAATTAAACACACCTGAACCAGCTAATCAAGCTCTTTCTAGGATACTAGAAACTTCCAGGGAGGTCTGTTGAAGAAAGTTGGAGTTAAACTATGCAGGTCACTGGGCCTCTAGGACTGACTTTGGAAACCCCTGGTTTAAGATGTTGGCTTGACTTTGGATTTTGCTCACTTTCTAACAAACTAAAATCAACCAAACATCAACATCATTTGTTATTGAATTTCAAAATAACGTCGTCTTTAGACGCTGGCTAGACTTTGACTTTTGGTCACCTGACATCACAACCTAAATCTAACCCAATATTAACGTCTTCTGACGTTGTGTGCCTGCTAGGCAGTAACTAAATGCGCTACAGAATGTTACGTTTACACACACATTCACAAATTACATGTAAATGCATTAGCTTTTTACAACATATTAAGATCACTACTCACTACTCTTGAGTACTTTTGAAAGGTCTACTTTTTACTCATACTTTGAGGAATATTTACAACAGATACTTTTACTGTACTTGCACTACATTTTAGGCAAGTATTGGTACTTTTACTTAAGTATGATTTTTTCAGTACTCTTTCCACCATCGTAAACAACCAATCTGTAAAGTATCTATATTGATTAAGTCACAACTTTTTGAGATTAAAGGCACATTTATTTAATCAAAAATGATAGTAAATACTTTTATAATGTTGCCAAATATTTCAGATTTTGTAATGTGGAGCTATCCTATTCAAAAATCCCCCAAAAAAATTAATTTATTTTTCTAATTAAACAACTATATTTTATATGTCCAAACACTTTTCTCTAACTGAAGCTGCTTATGTCTAAAATATTGGCAAATTATTTTTTTATTTAGTTTTTTATATTTCTTTTTTGCTTATATTTATTATATTTATACATATTTTTTTTATAAACAATCCATTTATTTTAATAATATCAAACAAATGAGCTATTTATTATAAAGAACAATCACGTTGAAACCAATTATTTAAAATCTATTAAAAAGATCTCACACGATTTTTGCTGCTGCTATTTATTCAACATTTTTAAGCACTCGTAGACAGTTTATAAAATTCACATCACTTTTACTATAAACTAGGCACTAGACACTTCTTGAAGCCACTATTGCAGATGAATGACCGCAGTGACGCAAAGACACATGCGTTTTGCATTGAGCAACAGATTAACCCTGTGGTCTGTTTTGTATAGATGGCATGGCAACATTTCACACCTTCCTCAAGTCCGAGTTCAGCGATGAGAACATCGAGTTCTGGCTGGTCTGCGAAGATTTCAAGAAAACCAGAAGCTTGTCTAGGTTATCCTCCAGGGCCAAGAAGATATTTGAGCGATACATCAAAGCGGAAGCTCCTAAAGAGGTGAGCTCTCTCTAAACATCTCTACACTGTTAAAAATAATAGGAGTGATTAGTTAACGTTACTTAAAAAAAATTGGGAAACCCAAAACCCAAACTTTAAAAGTAATCAGCTGATTTAAAATAGGGAGTAAATCATTGTGAAAGTAAGTAAACATGTTGCTTTTAAAATGATTAGTTGACTTTACTTGATGAAAATGAGAAATCCCATTGCTTTTAAAGCAGTTCGATGTATTTACTTTATGAAATTGAGTAAACTGTTTGCTTTTAAAGTGATTAGTTAAATTTACTTTGTGAGTAAATCCATTGCTTTAAAAAAGTTAAAGTGAACAAAGCTTTTGCTTTTAAACTGATTAATTGACTTTACTTAATAAATAGAGTAAACCCGTTGCCTTTAAAGCAATTACTTGACTTTACTGAATAAAAGTGAGTAAAACCTTTTGCGTTTAAAACAATTAGTTGACCTTACTTTAAAAAAGTGAGTAAACCCATTGCTTTTAAACTGGTTAGTTGACTTTAAATAATGAAAGTGAGCAAACCTGTTGCTTTTAAAGTGATTAGTTGACCTTACTTTTGAGTAAAGGCAACACTGTTAAAAAAAATAAATAAATAATTGACCCAACTTAAGATTTTAAGGCAACAAACTTCAGGACATTTTTGAGTTTACTTTACTTAAATCGAGTCAAGTGCAAACTGTGTTTTTAAAGAGATTAGTTGACTTTGTTTAAGCGAATAAACCCATTGCTTTTAAGCAAAAGTAAGTAAACCTGTTGTTTTCAAAGCCATTAGCTGACTTTACTTAATGAAAGTGAGAAAACCCTTTACTTTTAAAGCGATTAATTGATCTTATTTTAATAAAGTGAGTAAACTTATTGTTTTGAAAGTAAAAATTAGTAAACCTATTAGTAAAATAAAAAATTATTTAAAAAAAAAAAAATAAAATTGATTAAAAATTGATTAAAATTGATTATGGCTTTTAAATGCCATAAGTTGACTTTAAGTGAGTAAACCCATTGTTTTTAAAGCGATTACTTGACTTTACTTAATAAAAGTAAATAAACCCGTTGCTTTTAAAGCGATTACTTGATATTGCTTAATAAAAATGACTAAAAACTGTGCTTTTAAAGTGATTAATTAACTTTACTTAAGTGAGTAAACCCATTGCTTTTAAAGCATTTACTTTATTTTACTTAATAAAAGTGAGTAAACCTTGCTTTTAAAGCAGGAGTTCACACCAGATGCAGATGAAGCGTCTATCGCAAGTGATTTGCCTGTTAAGTCAATGCAAAAACACGAATAGACATCCTGCGGCATGATATGCGGGATGAATCGTTGCAATTTGAGCGTTTTGCGCCTTTGACGGACTTAATGCACGAATTGATAGAGTTGGAAAATCTGGATTTCAACGGACATTCACGCCGCGTTAACCAATCAGGAGCTTTCTTTTGTAGGGGCGTGATTATGACTACATCTAGTACAAACAGTGCTGAACGAATAGCGTGATTTATTTACGCATTCCCCGTCTGGTGTGAACCCAGCATTAAAGCGATTAGTTGACCTCACTTAATAAAAGAGATTTAACTCATTGCTTTTAAAGTGACTAGTTGACTTTACTTTTAAGAAGAGTAAACCCGTTGCCTTAAAATTATTCAACTTCCGAAAAAAAAATATTACTGGGGGCAAAATTATACATCATCTTGCTGCTTCTAAGGCAGCAGTTTCCTCACTTTTTAAAGTAGATTAACTTATCACTTCAAAAATGCAGTGTTGCACACAATTCATTCATGTTATCCCAACACAAATCCATTAAGTTAACGTAACTAATTTATCCAGCAAAACATTATTTTTAATGTAACAAGCAATGGCTTAACATCAGTATGTTTCTCACCACTACTCCGTCAATCTGTCCTCAGATAAACATCGATCACGTCACGAGAGAGCTTATCAAGCAGAACGTCCATGCTCCCACCAAAGTGTGTTTCGACGAAGCTCAGAGGATCGTCTTCGGTCTGATGGAGAGGGATTCTTATCCCCGGTTTCTCCGTTCGGACATGTACAGATCCCTTCTGGAATCAGTCTCGAATGGGATTAAGGTCTGAGAAAGTGCTCAATGAGAGACTTGAGGACTCTCCTGCGGGACTTTTGGTGCATTGGAGCGAATGGGAGTGGAGTATTAAGGCTTCAGGCCTGGACTTGAACATTGTGATCCACAAAAAGACTTGAATAAGCTATTGTTAATCTGCACTGTATTACACTGCTCCATTGTTCTGCGCGGCTGTGGAATACACGGAGACAAATGAGCTTTCGGTACCGCTCACCTGTAAGGAACCACAAGGAGATCTGAAACAAGCTGCGAAAACCAGAACCACCAGATGGACTTTATTTAACTTCTAGTGCTTTGATTACTGGACGAGTGTCAATTCTGGTTAGCGTGAGATGAAGTGGGAATAATACTAATGACGTTTGAAAAGTGAACTCAGTGAGCATTGATAACTTCATGATGTACAGAGCAAGTGTAAATGCTTCAATGTTTGTTTGTTTTTTTACGGTAAATGGGATTTTCTCATAGTAATCTGTATATGACTCACTTACTGTAATGATTCAAAAGATTCATTTCGTGTTTCTCTGTTGGATTGCAAGACAGCAAAGCAGAAAAGATTTTAAACAGGCTTATATTCCTGCACCAAAACACCTTATCTCTACAGATAATGTGAGGAAAAGGCATTTCATAAACCTGTTTGTCTGACTTTTTAAGAAGAGCTTATTAACTTAATAAACATAAATGTAAATTAAATCATTTGTTATTGTTTTATTACTGTTACAAAAAAATCTGGTAACACTTTATAATAACTACACACTATAAATCATTTATTAAGCATTAGCAAATAGTGAATTCATTATCCGTTAAGCATTAACCCTACATTAATAAACGTTAGTAAGCAGTTTATAACTGCAGCTACAAGTGCTCTATTCTTGACTTATAACCACATTTAAATTGTGCTTAATAATTGTATTTTCATACTTAGTAAATGATTAATTTTTCATTACTAAATTAAGTATCGCATTATTTACAAACGAGTTGTATTTAAGAGTAGTTGAGGGTTTTTAGGATCATTCAGAATGAGTTAGTAAATGATTAATAAACTATTGAAATCAACATTTGTATGTCTTATTATTCAGGCATATATTAATGGTTACTATGTATGTTAATAAATGTTTTATTAACTCAACTTCACCTAGTTTTTTTACCTAATCTAAAGTGAGCACTATTCATGCTTTATAAATCCTTTATAAATGACAAATAAAGGCTCAGTTAAATTCTAAACAGGAAAAATTACATTATTCATTCCTATTTAATTAAAGATACACAAATGAAACTGTACTTCAAATAAAAAATAAATCTTTGCAACTTGATCTAAAATAAAATCAACTGTAGAGTTTAAATATTACATTTTATTACATTGTTTAATTATTATATTGTTGTTTTATCCAGTTTTGTTATATTTTGACTCTCCTGTTATTCAGCAATGTTTAAACTTTACAGTAATTTTACATTTTAGAAAAGATTGCAAAGATTATAGTTAATTTGATTCTAAGCCTTTATTTGTCATTTATAATGGATTTATAAAGCATAAATAGTCCTCACTTTAGCTTAGGGTTAGGTCACAAAACTTCATGAAGTTGAGTTAATAAAGCATTTATTAACATATTAGTTAACTATTAATATATGTCTCAATAATAAGACATATAAACATTGATTTCAATATTTTATTAATCATTATTCTGAATGATCCTAAAAACCCTCAACTACTCTTAAATACAACTGGTTTGTAAATAATGCGATACTTAATTTAGTAATGAAAAATTAATCATTTACTAAGTATGAAAATACAATTATTAAGCACATTTTAAATGTGGTTATAAGTCAAGAATAGAGCATTTGTAGCTGCAGTTATAAACTGCTTACTAACGTTTATTAATGTAGAGTTAATGCTTAACAGATAATGAATTCACTATTTGCCAATGCTTAATAAATGATTTATAGTGTGTAGTTATTATAAAGTGTTACCAAAAATCTTTAAATGGGTGAATGTTATATTAGCAGTGTTGCGAAAGTTACCTCAAAAAAAGTAATTAACTATTAATCAATTGTATTTAGATTATTTTTCAAATTATTATGTATGATACATTTTTTATTCTTTAAATTTTAATCAAATGTAATTGTTTAGCTTAATTGATAAAGCTAAATAATTAAGCATTTATTAACATAGCATTCTTTTGTTATGCAGAGCAAAAATGCTTACATGTTGCTTAATACACACAGGATGTACAGCAGTTATAGGGAACCTATGGCTCGGGAGCCACATGTGGCTCGTTGACCAAAAAGTATGCGGCTCTCTAGCTGTCTCCCTTCAATAATATTTGAAAGTTTAAAAAATTATAACAGTCACTATCAGTTTGCTATTGAAAATACAATTAGAGTTACCTTTTTATTGTTTTTTTACTCTGATGAGACTCTGATTGATTTAATGCAGGTTATGCTTAAAACACACCCATAACTCATTAAGAGAATAAGCACAACCCTGTTAGACCATGCGCAAAAGTGGATTCAGACCCATTCTTAGGGCTCTATTTTGACGATCCAGTGCAAAGCGCAAGGAGCAAAAGCATCAAGGGCATGTCAGAATCCACTTTTGCTATTTTATGGATGGGAAAATCTGCTCTGCGCCATGGCGCATGGTCTAACAGGGTTGAGCTTATTCTCTTAATGAGTTGTAGGTGTGTTTTTAGAATAAACCAATCAGAGTCTCATCTCCCATTTCCTTTAAGAGTCAGTTGCGTCTCACCGTAGCGCATTTACTATTTACGTGGCGGATTTTGTAAAAGGAAAAACTGAACGCTTCACTAAAGAGAAAACAGACAGAGGATCTACAGACAAGAATGAGAGATGAGCCTCCTCATTCTTTACTTTCACTTTCACTCTGGTGGATAGGGAAACCTGTTGTATGCACAGACATCCATTAGCCTATACATAATTAATTTTGATTGTTAAGCACAAAGATTTGTTTCAAAACTATTTCTAAATTCAGTTCTAATTTCCAGCAAACGAATAAATGAACAAGAATAATGAAGTGTGGTCAAACAACTGAGTTATATCCTAAAACACATGCTGTGCCCCATATGGTCTAAAACCTGACAGATGGACAAATCTAAGCTTGTTTTTAATAAAACAAATATAAATATGCCTATAATAAATAAAACTGCTAATAATGATAACATTATAAAAAAGCAAGTTGTCATGAATAAACTAAAAAAGCAAACCCCCGAGATGAAGAAGGCATTAAGGCAGTGGTTTTTATATTTATGTAGAAAATATTGATTAAAGATATTTGTGTATTGCTATACATCCTGTGTGTATTAAGCAATTTTTAAGCGAGGCGCTCAACTAACGCGCGAGGCGCTCAACTAACGCGCTCTGCGCCGGACTCCTGCTGGTCTATTAAACAGACTATTTTAGTTCCTTGAAAAAGCAATGCGCCTTAACACGCCTCCTTTTTTCGACCAGAACGCACATGAGCGCAACAGCGAGGCACAAAACGTTAAAACGACTCTTGAGCTGAGCTGAAACTAGCAAACAACAATTGCATCGCACCTTGTGCAGCATTTCGCCGGGTGTATGATAGGGCCCTCAATGCTTTTGCGCCATGTGTTTAGATTTTGCACCTAGATAGATAAAATAGAGCCCTAAACGTTTAACTAAAGTGCAATGGAACATGTAGCTTTAGGCTCGAGGAAGTGTTTTCTATATTTATGTAGAAAATAATATTTTTGTATTATTTTATGGGTAAGTGTTTGGACCCACTTAACTAACACACTCTGCGCTTGGACTTTAGATCAGCTTTCAGTTGTTCAATAGCGCAGCATATTTCAGTTTCTCAAAATAGCAACGCATCAACAATGCGCCTTAACACACTTCCTTTTTAGACCAGCACACCCATAAGTTCACAAAGTGGCGCAAATGGATTTACTATTTAAACAATGTGGCGCAATATGTGAAAATTAGGGTTGCACTAGTCTGAAAATATCATCAAATCATGCCATACACGCCTTGCTTCCTGTGGAAGCAGGTGGTCACATTGGTGGTATTGGCGGAAGTTATCTTTCTGCAGCCATGGTAAGGCAGCAAATGAGTATATAGTTTCCAGCTATCGAAAATAGCAACTTTCATTTTCTGTCTGTCCTAGTACACAATGTAACTACAGAAAAGTCAAGTTTTAAATAGGAAAATTAGAACTCTGGTAATTTATGAGCAAGATGCTAATGGTCTAATCCGATTCAATTGCCGATGCTAAGCTAAAATGCAACTGTTCAACTTTTTTCTTTTTTTTTTTTTTTTTTTTAAGTGTAGTGTAGGCCTACTTTAATATGGACCTTTAGGGCGTACTCACACTATGTACAGTTGCCTTGAACCGGGCCGAAGATTGATGTCCCCCCCGCTTTATCCCCCGACGACCCGCACTCACATTACATTTGGGCCTGGAAATGTTTACGTCATCGATGATGCACTGTTCTGTAAGCGCTTTTGCTCAACTCAGTAAAGATTTCTTTAGTTATATTGTTTTAGCCGTTTGAAATGCAGCGACATACAGTCAAACATTTCACAGAACCACTTTTGACGTACATAAACAACCACAGTGCTCGTGCTGCAGGAATTCGGAGGTTTGCTAAAGGTGCAGCTGTCGTGCAGTAAGGGGTTTGCACCTTTAATAGCCTGCGATAGTTTGTGTTCATTGAACAGTAAGAATGATTAATAAATACATATGAAAAAGTCCTGTAAAAGTCACATCTCGTCTTCAGTTTCGGGCTCAGGCGTGCACTCACACTACAAGCGTATCTCACCAAAGCCCAAGTGAACCATGCTCAGGCACACCTCTTCCAACTGGGCCTGGGCCGCCCAAGTCAACCATGCCTGAGCCTGATTCAGAGCACTCACACTTCTCAAACGATCCAGGAAACGGGCCTAGGCACGGTTCGGATAGCATTGTGTGAGTACACCCTTAAGGCTGGATTATACTTCTGCGTCAAATGCCGGCGTAAGCTACGGCGCTGACGCATAGCCCTTCGCCGTGGCCGTCGGTGTCGCTGACGTGCACCTCTCAAAAAATGTAACTACACGTCACAACGACGCGTAGCGCAAGCTCTGTGATTGGTCGGCTTGGTAGCGCTGATGAGTCTGGGCGGGACCGAGAGCCGCGTGAATGGTGCTAGCCTGATGGAGCGATTGTTTACAAGTGTGGAGTCCCGTGAAGGAGCTCCGGATGGAAAGTTTTGTTTTGTGTGTACCTCATAGTTAAGGTTGTTGCACGCCTGCCGGTTCCTGCCTCAAAATGAGCGAGTTTGATCCACTTTTACATCCCGGAAGTGTTCAGGAAAAGCAAAAAAGCAGCGAAGAAACTCGACACAGAGTAACATTTACACCTCACTGCCAACTAGCGTTTCGGAAGTGTTAATGCAGACCAACAGAGACAGAGCGCAGAAGTATAAATGCACAGCCACGCGCGTTGCATGCGCCATGGGTTACACCGTGGGTTACGCCGGTGACTTGACGCAGAAGTATAAATCAGGCTTTAGATACAAGCATGTAACCAACTAATGCAAACATACAAATGTAAAAAAATTCTCATTGATGCTAATTCAGTTATTTGCAACATCTCTATAAAAAAAAGAGTTTCAATGTACTGTAGGTAAAAAATCTGGTCACACTTTGTTTTGATGGTCCAGTTAATGAATTAA